GGGGTGTGGGAGTCCCGCTCCCCAGCTTTCGGGCGTCTGGTCCTCGCCGACCCGCGCCCCCTACTCAGCCGCGCTGTGCTGGGTTGGGTCTCCTAAGCCCTAAACGGAGCTGAGCGGGGTGCTCAGCTGCGCCCCCCAGCGGGAGCCTGGAGGTCGCACCCACTCGCGAACCCCGTGCGCCTTAGTGCTCCCCGGTGGGAGGCTGCGGCTGCGGCCTCTGGGTGCTGCTAAGCCGTGAGGCGGGCAGAGGGACCTCTGCCCAAGTCGCCTGCCGCGAGATCAGCGCGTCTGCTCGGCAGGGGGCGTGCTCCCTTGGCCTAGTCCCGGCCGTGCCCCCACCCCGCCACCCCGCCCTAGGTGCGGGGAGGGCACAAGAATTGGCTGGCTTGGTGCTGGGCCTCCTCCCCTTGCAGCCTCCCAGGCGCCCGGACCTTGTTCCACGGTGTGGGGCTCAAAGTCTTCCACACGTCCGCCCCCGCGGTCCAAGTCATCCCTTACTAACCTTTGACTCCGTGGGCGCCGCCCGCCGGGATCTCAGGGCACCAGGTTGGCCCGCACGGGAGACCACCAGGGGTACTACCTGGGAGTGGTTAGGGATGTGATCTCACCCCTCCCCTCCTTTGACCTTTTCTCATCAGCCCTCTGACAGATTCCTTGCTTGGATTAGCTTCCACACATAGCTTTGTGATTGGGTAAATTAGCATCGAGAAGACCTCGACTGTATCCTTCCAAGGACTGAAGAAAAAAAAACGATCCCTGCAAAATATGCACATCCTAATCCCTGGTACCTGTGGATGCTTTTTCAATGCGGCAAAATCTTTGCAGGTGTGTTGTGTGGCCTCAGGCAAATCTCACTGCGGGTCTGAGCCACGTCTCATTTCATACCTGCCTCGATTAACCTTACTGGAGGCTTGGCGCGCTGTGGCACACACCTGTGATCCCAGCATTCCTCAGGTGGAATCAAGAGGATCTTCAGTTCAAGGTCATCCTCTGCTACACACGTTCTAAGCCCACATGGCCTATGTGAGACTATAAATAAAGAGCTTGGGACAGAAGAGGGTTGGAAGTACTTTGTAAATCATCAGCCCTATAAAGGGATCCAGTCTGGAGGAGAAAGCTTGTTTTCTGGACTGCAGGACCTGGCTACTGTAGCCGTTCTTTACTATGGCTAAAACAAGACAGATAAGACAAGCAAGAGTGTGGCTTTTTGCCGGGCAGTGGTGGCACACGCCTTTAATCTGATTTCTGAGTTTGAGGCCAGCCTGATCTACAGAGTGAGTTCTAGGACAGCCAGGGCTACACAGAGAAACCTGTCTCAGAAAAACAAAAAAACAAAACAAAAAAAAGTGTGGCTTTTTATTTATTTTTTTCAGACAAGGTTTCTCTGTGTAGCCCTGGCTGTCCTAGAACTCGGTTTGTAGACAAGGCTAGTCGGGAACTCAGTGCTGCTGGACTTAAAGGTGTTTACCACCACATCTGGCCTGAGTGTGGATGGATTTTAATATAAAGATAAAGAAAAGTAGACAAGAGGAGGGGGGGTAGGAATTGCTTTTGTTTGATTTTGTTTGTTTGTTTGGTTGGTTGGTTGGTTTTTCGAGACAGGGTTTCTCTATGTAGCCCTGGCTGTCCTGGAACTCACTCTGTAGACCAGGCTAGACTCGAACTCTCGAACTCAGAAATCCACCTGCCTCTGCCTCCCAAGTGCTGGGATTAAAGGCATGTGGCACCCATCTACATCTCTCTGTCCCTCTGTGTCTCTGTCTCTGTGTGTCTCTGTCTTTCTGTCTCCCTCTGTGTGTGTGTGTGTGTGTGTGTGTGTGTGTGTGTGAACATTTACTTAACCTTAAAATATGGTCAGAAGGACTAGGGAGACACTCAGTAGTTAAGAGTACTTACTACGTTTGCAGAAGACTAGAGTCAGTTCCCAGCGCCCAGCCCACACTGAGTGCCTCACAACTCCCTGTAAGTCCAGCTTCAGAGGATCAGATGCCTGGCCTCAGGCACCTGCACCACATGGACACATTCCTACACACCTACATACACAGAGTAAAAATAAGCTGTAAGACGGGCACGGTGGGGCATCCTTTAATCAGCACTTGGGAGGCAGAGGCAGGCAGATCTCTGAGTTCAAAGCCAGCCTGGTCTGTAGCTCAACAGTAGAGCGCTTAGCTAACATGCCTGGGTTCACTCACTAGCACCGCTACCACAACAATAAAGGTGATGAGAAATTCCCATGAATGTCAGGCGTGGTGGCTATGTTTGTAATTCTTGGATTCAGATGTACTGGAAGAAAGACCAGGAGTTTACTTGGCTTCCAGCTTGGGCTATTAAGACCTTGTCTGAAAAAAACTTATGTGAGCCAAAGCAAGGAGTCTAATTCCCATAAAAAAGTCTGAATTTTGCCTTAGAAAAATCTCTGAACCTCAGTTTCCTTCATTGAATATCTGCATTCGTACTATCTTTTTTCCATATGAAATAAGGTGAAAGTTTAAAAAAATTTTTTTGGCAGAATCTTTTTTTTTTTTTTTTTGGTTTTTGGTTTTTCAAGACAGGGTTTCTCTGTATAGCCCTGGCTGTCCTGGAACTCACTCTGTAGACCAGGCTGGCCTCGAACTTAGAAATCCACCTGCCTCTGCCTCCCAAGTGCTGGGATTAAAGGTGTGTGCTACCACTGCCCGGCTTTTTTGGCAGAATCTTATGTAGCCCAGGCTAGCCTTTTATTCACCATGTCCCAAGAATAACCCTTACAAGTAGTTCACTGATGCTAGAGATGGAACCCAGGGCTTCATATGTGAGGCACTTAGGCACTCCACTAAACTATATTCCCAGTCCAACCAAGGATTCTTTCTTCCCTCTTTTTTTTCCTCCTGTCTGTCTGTTGCTGTTGAAACAGGATCTCATGTAGCTGAGGCTGTCCTTGAACTCTTCAGCCTCCTGCTTCTATGCCACTTCCCAAGCTGGGATTAAAGGCTTGAACATGCACTGCCACAGCCAGCTAGGACTTTTAAAATATACCTAAGAGCCGTTCTGTTTGAGGAAAATTAATTAGAACCTACCTCCTTCCAAACCCATGGGTGACAACAGACGCTGCCTTTAGATTGTGCTTTGGCTGGAAGACTCTTGCCCAGAATGCCAGGTATGGGTGCCAAGAAAGAAAAATGGCAGTTGGGAGTTTGCTTTTTTCTTGCCAGTCGCAGAGTAGACCCCTTCTGTGTGTGAGGATTCTCCTTCACAATGACAAACGGGTAGTACGGCACTGGTGGTAAGGGCTGGAGATGACAGAGAGTCTGTGCCTGTAGCCAGCTGGGATTGGTTCTCAGGTGGACCTATGGGGTAGTCGTGTGGACATAGGTGTGTGTCCAATCACTGTGGGGAAACAGAGGTGAGCAAGTTCATCTTCCTATCTAAGTGTTTATATGAGGGACAGATAAGGACAAAGATGAGAAGGTAGCGATGCCTGTTCTGGGTTGAGGAGTGGCTCAGCAGGTAAAAGTCCTTGCTACTAAAGGATGAAGATCTGAGTTCAAATCTTCAGCAGCCACATGAGAAGCCAGGCATAGCCACGTACGTGTGCCTATATAAAGCCTCAGTGCTGTAGAGAATAGACATAGAATTATTGGGGCTTGCTGGCTGCCTGTCAAGCTATGCATTCAACGAGAGACTCTGAGGACACCCAGTGTGGTCCTTTAGCTAACAAACACACACAGGTGTGTGCAATCGCTCATGCATGCCCACACATGCCACACACATGTCTGTCCTACTACCAACAGCCTCTTTTTCTTTTTTTTTTTTTAAAGATTTATTTATTTATTTAATGTATATGAGTACACTGTCTCTGTCTTCAGACACACCAGAAGAGGGCCTCAGATCTCATTACAGATGGTTGTGAGCCACCATGTGGTTGCTGGGAATTGAACTCAGGACCGCTGGAAGAACAGTCAGTGCTCTTAACCGCTGAGCCATCTCTCCAGCTCCCTTTTTTGTTTTTTCGAGACAGGGTTTCTCTGTGTAGCCCTGGCTGTCCTGGAACTCACTCTGTAGACCAGGCTGGCCTCTAACTCAGAAATCTGCCTTCCTCTGCCTCCCAAGTGCTGGGATTAAAGGCGCGCGACACCACCACCTGGCACCAACAGCCTTCTTGGAGAGTCTGCTTCTCCAATTTTCCCTTTTAAAAGAGGGAAACATCATATCAGAGATTTGATTTCAAATACAGGGACAGGATAGACAGGATGGCTCAGTGGGTAAAGGACCTTACCACTAAACCAGATGGCTGGCACCATTCCATCCTGGGACCCACATAGTGGAAGAGAAAACCGACTCCTCCAAGTTTACCTCCAGATCTACACACACACACACACATACACACACACACACACACACACACACACACAGAGAGAGAGAGAGAGAGAGAGAAATTCAAATACTGCAGGTATCGGAGGGATGAAACACGATTGGGTAGAGCTGGTAATTGTTACAAGAAGTCCGGGATGGCGCGCGTGGGCGTTCATTATCCTATTTCCTCTACTTTGGAGCATGTTTGAAAATTTTCATAACCTCTTGCTTTGGAAAACAGAGTGAGGAAGGAGAGTTTCTCGTGAATTTACGGTGAAAACCAGGGTCACATTTACTAGGTATTTATGGACAGCCAGGTACCCAGATCATGTCTGGCACGTTCCTTGAGACTCTTTTGGAGAGCCTGCAGCCCAAAGACAGCAAAAGCCTACAAGTAAGGGAATCCCTGGCCTCCCGCAGGCTCCTCCTCTTTTTCTCCGCCCTCCATGCCCGCCCCTCCTTCCGAGGAAGAGTTGCCTGGAACCTGGCAGGTGTAGGGTTAAAGCAGCCAGTTTGGGGCCGCGGCAGCGGCAGCGGCGGCAACAGCAGCAGCAGCAGCAGCAGCAGCAACTGTAGGCTGCGGCTGTGGCTGTGGCTGTGGCAGGCCTGGCTCCGGGCCAGCTGGCAGGGAGCCTCAGAAGGGAGGAGGGAGGAGGGAGGAGGAAGAGGGGAAGGAGGAGGAGAGGAGCAGTGAGCAGGCCCGAGAAGGCAGGACTTCCTGGTGTGGGGGTTGTCAACAGCCCAGAAAGAGAGCCAGAGACCCAGACCGAGACGGAGCGGAGCTGAGGAGCCGAGAGATACATCCAGTGGGGCCACGTGGGAGGAGCCTTGAGAGAGAGAGCCACTCAAGGGACTGGAGCCAGCGAGGGGGCTGAGCCGCCCCCTCCCACAGCAACAGGGAAGACCCGTGGAGTGTTAGCCGAGGCTGCGCCTGGGCTCCCCCGTGGAAGCGCTGGTTTCTTCTCGTCTCAACTGCAAACTTTCCACCGAGATGCCTCGCAGAGTGAGATGCGGACGCCAGAGAACACTGGGTAGCCCTTGATTGCTGCCTGTTGTGGCTTGCACTAGAGGCCTTAGGATAAAAAAAAAAAAAAAAAAAAAAAAACATCTTAGTCCCCAGGTCTTCTCTCCAGCTCAGTTCGGTGGCCGAGGCCCGAGAGGTAGGTAGTTCTCCTGGGCTGGGCGGGGCGCTTGGCTTGGCGGGCAGTGCCTAACCAGCGATGGGGGAGCTGGAATGGGGGTGGGGTGGGCTAGAGGCCCAGCAGAGGCCTCAGGGTGGCCCTTTCAGGGGAGGAGCCGGTTCACCCCTTTGCCCCTGGACCTAGAGATACGTGCTGTGGGCGACTTTGGGTCTCAAGCATGAAATGTCCAACTTTGGGTCCCAGCTGCTTCTTCCTGTTCTGGGTGCTCTGAATTCTGTCCCCTCCGCTCCGGTCTGTCATTTCTACTTGTCTCTGGGTCTCTAGTGGCTTTCTTCTTCCTCCCCCCAGTCGGCTCCCCCGAGAGGAAGCCCCGGAGGTGGTTTGGCCCCTGCTTTTTCTTTTGCTCACGTACACACACGCTCGCTCACTTTCTGTCTCTTTCTTTTTCCAGTTTGCAAGCTCAGCTCTGGGGTTTCAGCAGCGACAGCAGCAGGAAAAACCTGCCTCTGCCCCCCCTCCTGCCACCTCCCCTCTGTACTCCAGTCACTAACCAGTCACCCCCAAGTTCCCACAAGGCCCTCCTGCCATGTCGGACCCAGACGTCCCCAGGGGCCCCGATGTCCCTGCCATGTGGCCCCCTTGTTCCAGAGGTGCCTGAGCCCCTCTCCAGGAGCCCAGCCCCTCCCCCACCCGAGCCCAGTCCGGAGCCCCAGGGACCATGAGTGGTGGTAAGAAGAAAAGTAGTTTTCAGATCACCAGCGTCACCACGGACTATGAGGGCCCAGGAAGCCCAGGGGCTTCGGATTCCCCTGCCTCACCGGTTCCCGCTGCGCCCCTACCCCGCCTCCCCAATGGGGAACCCAACCCTGATCCAGGGGGCAGGGGCACCCCCCGGAATGGCTCTCCGCCACCTGGAGCCCCTGCCTCCCGTTTCCGGGTGGTGAAGCTGCCCCAAGGTTTGGGAGAGCCTTATCGTCGAGGTCGGTGGACGTGTGTGGATGTTTACGAGAGAGACCTGGAGCCCCCGAGCTTCGGTCGGCTTCTGGAGGGAATTCGAGGGGCCTCAGGAGGCACCGGAGGCAGATCATTGGATTCTAGGTTGGAGCTGGCTAGCTTGGGCATAAGCACCCCTATCCCGCAGCCAGGCCTGTCTCAAGGCCCCACCTCTTGGCTCCGCCCGCCCCCTACTTCTCCTGGACCACAGGCCCGCTCCTTCACAGGGGGGCTGGGCCAGCTGGCAGGACCTGGCAAAGCTAAGGTGGAGACGCCCCCGCTGTCAGCCTCTCCACCCCAGCAGCGCCCCCCAGGGCCTGGGACTGGAGATAATGCTCAGACCCTGCCCTCTCTGAGGGTAGAAGTGGAGTCTGGGGGTTCAGCAGCCGGAACCCCTCCACTGTCGCGGAGAAGAGATGGAGCAGTTCGGCTGAGGATGGAGTTAGTTGCTCCAGAGGAGACAGGGAAGGTAAGAGATGGGTTCATGGGGGCGGGGCAAGACCTACTGTACTCAGTCCTCTGACCTATATCCTGGGACTCCTGGCCTCAACTTCTGTCCCGCCTTCCCACCTCTATATCATCTGTCTATTGGGTAGGTCATAAGGACCCCTCTCCCTTTTTGCAATTTGTACTCTGAAATCCTTTCTCTCCCAGCCTTTATTCTGAGTATACATGCACCTTCCTTCCTTCCTTCCTTCCTTCCTTCCTTCCTTCCTTCCTTCCTTCCTTCCTTCCTTCCTTTGTTCTTCATCCTTCCTTTTTTCCTTTCTGTCTCTTTTCTCTTTTCTCCCCTTTGCTCTGTGGCCTTCACATTGTTGCCCTTGGCCGTGACTGTTTCCATAAAGCCTGTGGCCTGTGCGGCCTGCCCACTTCGGCCTTTACCTTCTCTGGCTCCAGGTGATGAGGGTGGAGGTTCCAGCTGGGTGGCTGGCTAGGCCCTTGAGGGGAGGAGCTGGCAGGGTTTTGGGGCAGCCATAAAAGGTAGGCATTCCTCTGGGTCTTTATTCTAAGCAACCAGCCCAGCCCCATTTTCTGCCTTATTGCAAACCAGTTTCTCTGAGGAATTGGGGTAGGGGGCGGGGCATATCACTCTTAGTCGGTTTCAGTACTTTAGACCTGGGCTTCTCCCGGAGTGTGGGGTGGGGTGACCTCATCGACCATCGAGTGGGCGGGTTGGGAAGCAGCTGGGAAGGAGTTAAATCCTCTGTGCTTTCTGTTTCCTGTCTCCAAAAGAGGAAGCTACCCACAAGTCTGGGCTGGGGGCAGGATGCCTGTGTCCCTGTGTGTGTGTGTGTGTGTGTGTGTGTGTGTGTGTGTTGGAGGTTGGGCACTTAGGGTTGGGAGAGTTGGATGTTTCTGTTTCTGCTGTGGAGAAAATAACACCTTGGCTGCTATGGGGAAGCAGGGAGCATGAGAGAGGGTTCTGTCCCTTCCTGGCCATGGGTTCCCACCACAGTGTAAAAATATCTTGAGCCTGAGGCATGTTAGCACTGGTCAGAACCAGCTTTCCCACCCTCTCCTGGCTGTCAGCTCCCTGTTTCATGGTCCAAATTTCCCATCTTCCTCAATTTTTTTTTTAATGTAGTCTCCTGGATAAGCTGTCATCGCCTGCCTGGTTCTTGTCCCCAGACCCTCCCAGGGCGAGTTTGTCAATGGCTCTACTTCTGTTACATTTGTTTAACTTATGTGTGAATGTGTACGGTCGTGTGTGCATCTTGGTGTGCGTGTGGAGGTCAGAGGACAGCTGGGAGTCAGTTCGGTCCTTCCACCGTGTGGGTCCCACCATGTGGGATCAAACTCAGGCTGCCAAACTTCGCCGCAAGCCTCTCTACTCCCTCAGCCATCTCGACCACCCTCTTTGCTCTCCTCAGTCACAGCCTGAGCCTATCTTAGGTTTGTAGACCCTGTCTCTTGCCCCACAGTGTCCCCAACCCCCCCTTCCTTCCTCCCAATCAGCCTCGATCATTTCCTGTGTGCTTGTAACTGTCACTATTTCCCTGCCTCGAGTTAGACTTGCTTCATTCAGTTTCATGGTCTAAAAAGAGCTGATGGAGATTTGATAGGACGGGAGGTGATACCTGTGCCCCCTGTGCTGCGGGCGCTCTGTCCCTCTAACCACTGTCTGTTGGCTTTTCTCAGGTGGGGCCTCTCAGGGGCCCTCATAGAGGCTTCTTGTCCAGTCCTGTCACCTCCGCCCTTTTACAGCTGCCCCCAGCCTCTGCCTGTTAGGTTATGTAGGTCCACACCCAGGGTCCTCTCTCCCCTTCCATTCTCACAAAGCTCCACCACCACCCCACCCCACCAAGGCAGAGTAGAGACTCTTTGAACTTCATCCCAGGTCCCGAGAAGTTGAGGGGGCCACCATCAGGGTAGTGGGTGTAGAGAGGCAGTTTCAAGCTCGCCGTCAGCGGGGGTGACACACTACATGCTTTAATTTCAAATCGTACTAGATGCTATGAAACTGTTTAGTGGACTAGGAACCAGTAGGAAGGACATCTGAGTGACTTTAAGAAGGCACACAACTTGGGGAAGGTAGAGGCAGGAGGGTGGCAAGTTCAAGGCCAGCCTGGCCTACATAGCAAGGTTCTGGGTCGGCTTGGGCTGAGATCTTGTCTCAGAAAAGAAGATTGGGGAGGGAGGGACGGAGGGAGGGGTCTGAGACTATAGCTCAGTTAATGGAGTGCTTGGCTAAGCATGCACTGAGCCCTACGTTTGAGTCGTAGCAGCTCATAAATTGAGTGTATGTCTATAACTCCAGCCTTTGGGAAGTGGAGACAGGAAGGCCGGCCAGTAAGTAGTTCAAGGCCACCCTCAGCTACATAGTCAATTTGAGGCCACCCTGCTCCACAGGAGACCTTATTTCAAAAAAAATACTAAGTACAATATCCTCTAACTGGGAGTCCTGGCTAAGTCCTTCACTGATGCCCTCTGTCCTTCCAGAACACCCCTCGTACCTGCTTGTTGTTTCTAGCAAGTCTGGAAGAGGGGAAGGCTTCAGAGCCAGGAAGAGAAGGAATTGGTGGAAAGGGAGAAATTGTAAGGTGGCACCACACGCGCGCGTGTGCACACACACACTCACTCCTGTCTTCACATTGATGGTTCTCACTCTTCTGCCTCCAGGTACCTCCCATTGACTCTCGCCCCAACTCCCCAGCCCTGTACTTCGATGCCAGCCTGGTCCACAAGTCTCCAGACCCATTTGGAGCAGCAGCAGCCCAGAGCCTTAGCCTGGCTCGTTCCATGTTGGCCATCAGTGGTCACCTGGACAGTGATGATGATAGGTAGGTGGGAGACACCACTGTCACACCTGTACAACTGCGCCTTGTGTATCCCTTTCTCCTTAGATGAACTAGGGAGAGACAGAGACCTAGCAGGGTGAAATCATCCGGTGAAAGCTCACCTGGGACCACTCCCTGAGGAGAAAGCTAGGTGGGACTCTTGCCTTAGGACTATTAGGTCAAGAGTTTTTGAGTTCGAAGGGAGTCATTGTCAGATTCCGGAGCTCTTGTGGCTCTAGAGGTCATTTGTTTAGGAATCAAATCCATTGGCATGCGCTTTGGAGACAAGAATAGAAAATGGGGAGGGGAGACGGGGAGACAGCTGGGGACATGGCTCAGTGGCTCAGTGCTTACTTAGCATGCACAAGGCCTTGGGTTCAGTCTCCAGTGGTACACAAACTCCCTCGGGGCCAGTGTAGACTATATCATACTATGTCAAAAAAAAAAAAAATAGAGTGAATGGGCAATCGGTGACTTCCCTTCAGCAGCTCCCTTTCCTCGGGCACCAAGGGGGAAAGGATGCTTTATGCTCCTCCAGGATCTTGACAATCCTTGGAATCTGCACAAATTACTTTAGGGCCCAGGAATTTTTAATACCAAGAACACATTACCTGGAAGGTGTATACTTCTGATCTGTATACTCCTGATCTGGAATTCAAAAGCTGGAAGTAGGTGGCTATTTTTAAGTTCAAGGCCAACCTGGGCTATCTAGGAAGATTTTGTCTCAGAAGAAGGTGGGAGGAGCTGAGTGTGGTGCCTCACCTGTGACCCCAGCACTTGGGAGGTGGAGTTAAGATGGTCACGTGATCCCGGCACTTGGGAGGCTGAGTTAAGAGGGTCGCCATAGGCTTAAGGCCTGCCTGGAGCCGGGTGTGGGGGCACACACCTTTAATCCCAGGGTTCGGGAGGCAGAGATGGATGGATCTCTGAATTTGGGACCAGCTTGGTCTAGAGTGAGTTCCAGGACAGCCAGGGCTGCACTCTATTGGGGAAAAAACAAACAAAACACATAAACAAACCAGCTTGGGATAGCAGCTTGACCTCTGTAGGATGAGAGCCTGTCTCGGAAGAGAACAAAACAGTAACAAATAGTGTCTTGTGGGGCCTGGGGATGTAGCTTAGTAGAACTGGCCTAGCATGTTTGAAATCTGTGGTTCCAGCACTTGCATAAATCTGGTTGGTACTACATATTTTATAACCCAGTAGAGGTCGAGGCAGGAAGATCAAAAGTTTAGGGTTGCCGGGCGGTGGTGGAACACACCTTTAATCCCAGCACTTGGGAGGCAGAGGCAGGCGGATTTCTGAGTTTGAGGCCAGCCTGGTCTACAGAGTGAGTTCCAGGACAGCCAGGACTACACAGAGAAACCCTGTCTCGAAAAAAGTTTAGGGTTATCCTCAACTATAGAACAACTTTAAGGGCTAGCCTAGGCTATGTGAAATCATGTTCAAAATATAAAAGTGGGGGGGGGCGGCAAGGAAAAGGGATGGAGGGAAGGGATGGAAGGAGGGAAAGAATAGATTTAAAGTTCTGTCCTCTGAGAGGATGTGGGCCATGTTGGTGGGAAGAGGATGGAAACCAAGGCCTCCCATAGCGATGGGCGCCGCAAAGGGGCAACGCAGGACAGTTCTACTGGCCTTGCCAATGACGAGAGTGTCTCATTTGGTGACGTGGTAGGCAGAGTTTTGCTTTCAGTATTTATAGGAATATTGACCATGTCAGATAGCTAGGCTCTGGGCAGAAGAGCTAGCAAGCCCCCACATTCATTGGAGGGAGAAGTGGGACTTTCTGTTGGAGGACCTTCAGAGGAGGGACTTCCTGTTGGGAAGGAAAAGAGTGGGCCTAACTGAGTGGGTGTCTCCAGGAGACCTACCGTAGATGCAAATCTTTCCGTCTCCGGTTCCCCCTTTGTGGTACCATCCCCTGGAATTAGACCCTGGCCCACAGAAGAGGCCAGTGGGCCACAGTGAGAGGGCGGAGACCCAGAAAGGAAAGGAGAAAGGGGTGGCCTGGAATATGTGAACTTGAGGGCCAGGGGCTCGTGCTGGGCAGGGCAGGGCAGGGCTGGGCAGGGTAGCTTCTGAACTGCCTTCCAGCTGGCTCTCTGGAATGTGTGAGGTGTGAGTTCAGCCAAGGCCAGAGAGTCGCCTGCCCCATCTGATGCTATTCTCAGCGGGTCCCACCCCACCCCACCCCCACCCCCAATTTGGGAAGTTCCCTGGCAAAAAGGCTTTGTGTACCTCCTCTACCCCTTTCTCAGCCCGGCCTCCAGCTCTCTCTGTTACAAAGTTCTACCTGTTGAAGCTTCCACTGCACCATTCTTTTGAACTGGTCCCCCCACCCCCCACCCGTTCTGCACACCCTAGTCTGACCGGTTGCTCCCAGCCTTCAAGGCTCTGGGGCTCTGGCCCAACCCAGCCCCTCAGTGCCTCGCCTGGCTGGGCCAGCGGGTTTGGGCTGGGCCATCCTCTACCCCCTAGGAATGGGGTGTGTAGACCCCACTTCACCTGTGCCCCCTGGAGCTAGGAGACACAAAGTTCCAAGTGGCATGACACATCCCTTTTGAGAAGGAAAATGGGTTGTGGTGATAAGTACTGGGGTACCACGTTGAGCTGGAGGTACCTTACCCGCCCTTGGATGTGGGATGGGAAAATGGAGTGCCTGGTGACTTCAGACTGTGTGCTCCTGGTTGGAGGATCTGTGATCCCATACAGGTTGGGAGATACTTGGTCAGGATGACAGAGTGGGCAGATGTCTAGCTAGTGGGTCCCAAAGCCTTGAGGGAGAAAAGCCACATTGTTTTCTGTTTCCCTTTGCATCCAGTGCTTGTTTTCCAGTGCTGGCTACCACTGAGCTACACACCAAAGCACCCCCCACCACCACCCCTCTTCCTCCCGTTGTTGTTCTCAACTGTGAGACAGGGTCTCGCTGAGCTGCCCAGGGTCGTCCTGTCCCCCACCCCCCACCTCCTAAGAGGCTGAAATGACAAATGACAGGCGTGCCCTTTCCCCCAGGCCCTCTCCAGGGCTACTCCTTGACATGCGTGTTTTCATGTGTTCATTTGTGTATGTGTGTGTGCGCGCACATGTGTGCCACTTTGTGGAGGTAGAGGTCAAAGGCCAGAGAGCAGGCTATGAGTGTTTTTCTCCTACCATGTAGGTCCTGGTGATCCAACTCAGTTTATTATGCTCTGTGGAAAGCTGCCTTTTACCCACTGAGCTGTCAAAATGACCCCTCTACACGCTAACCTCATGAAATTGTAAAAGCAATCCCATGATTCCTCACTTTCCAGATGAGACTCAAAAGGTTGGGGGCGGGGGGTTTGAAATGTCGGTCTCAATCTATAGCCACACTCTTTCCTGTTGGAGTTTGTGCCTCCCAAGAGAATAAGAGGTGGCAATGGTCCTTAGGATGTCCTTTTGCTAAGACAGAGGGAGGGATAGCTCAATAACTGGGGCAAGGAACCAGCCCCTCCCCCCCGGCCCAGCCCCTGCCCTGCGTACCCTCAAAGGCACTATAGAATCAGATCTGGGAGAGGGTGTCGACGGGATTGCTGGGTGCCACTTCCTTGGCCTCAGGCCCACCTCTGAGGGCTCCTGGAATATGTGGGCAGCTGAGCTGGCCAACACCTCCAGCTCTTCACAGACAACTCAGTTCCATTCTCATACTGACACAGAGATTAGTCTCAAGAGATGCCCTCACCCCTGGACCTGAGAGTCTGTCCCTCAGGGCTGCTGTGTCCAGATATGTTGTGCACTGAACAAACCCTGGGGGTGCCATTTACATTTGCAGTCTTAAAGCCTGGCCTGGGTGGGAAGTCATGTCAGGTTGATGGCAAGATGTGTCTTGGGGAAGGAGATATTTCATCCTCATTCCTACAGAGTTGCTTAGAGGCTAGTGGCACCTGCCCTTCCTGCCCCCAGCCTTGCCCAAGAATTCCAGTGTATGTAGCGCATGCCAGCCTCTCACTCAGGACTAATCAAAGGGAAGGCTAGGCTTGCCAGAGTCCCCATCCCTTCAAGTGTTAAGCCCCAATGGCATAGGGGAAGTGCTTTCAAAAACTCCTGAGCTGGACAAACACAAGATAGCCATCAATCAGCCAACAAATGTTGTCTGTTGTATTATTCCTTTATTCTGGCAAGAGTGGAGGATTTAACTTGGCATCTCCGCCCAAGTGTCCGCCAAGCAGGGCTGACACCTCTACTCTGGTACATCTCTTCATCTTAGTTGTCTCTGTGTACTGGAAGGAGGGGTGGGTATTGAGCTTTATTCTGTAGCCTATTCCCCCCCCCCCCCCCAGGTACTGTGAATTGAAGTATCTTGAAAACAGATTTGACACTGGCTAGTTGCACCTGCCCCCTCCCATTGGTCCTTTCTCCCCCCTCCTTCCCTCCCCCCCCTTCTCTTCTCTGTGTGTGTGCATGCTGGCACACTTATGTGTGTCACATGCAATATGGCAGGCTTGTGGAGGTCAGAGGACAATTTGGGGAAGTCTGTTCTTTCCTTCCACAATGTAGGTTCTTGGAATGGAACTCAGGTTTAGTGGCAGGACGCTACCCACTGAGCCCTCTTCCCTCTAACCACCTCCATTCTTAATCAGCTCCTTGTCCCCTGCCTTTGGAGGCTCCCCGTGTCCTTAGTCACTGCTATCCTGCTCTTTCTAGCCCGTTCACCCCCTTGGTTGTTCCTACCTGTCAGCACCTCCTGCACCCAGAGCTTTGCCAGGAAATGGAAAATTCCCAGCTCCCTTCTGCCGGGCAGGCCTCATGCAAGGGTCACCTTGGACTGAGTATGGATCCCCCTGTAGGAAAGAAGGTTGAAGTTGACAGCCAGTTGGGGGGGGTTACAAAAGAGACAGCAGTGTGTGAATGGAGCCAAGTGGCACCCCGACTCTGGGAGAGGACAGGGCTGGAGACCCCGGTGTCCCTGGGGAAAGTAGAAAGGGGGCTTAGGTAACTGGAACAAAAGCCTGCCTCCTCTGTTCCAGCGGCCAAAGAGGGACATTGGAGGCTGGAACAGGGCAAGCAGACCCTAGAAAGTCCTGGGTGACCAGAGGGGCTTGAATAAGAACCAGATTATCCAGCCTGGTGCCAGTCAGGAGCCTGAGCCCTGGGGCATTTGACTCAGGCATGAGTCGCCCTCTGGTGGCCAATGCTCGAACTGCAGCCAGACCTGCCTGTTAATTGGAAAATACTGATTTACTATCCAATGTCCCATGCTCAGGCTCTTCTCCCTCCAAACATTTTCTTAAGCCCTGACTTACTGCAAGACCTCCATACCCAGGTCTCAGGTCCCATACAGGCTGCCTTTGATTTACAGGGTTCCTAACATGGGGGGGTGTGTTTCTGTTGTTATGGTAACCTTTCCTAATTCTCTCCTTCGCTGAAGTGGGGTACCCTCTGTCCCAGGTTTCAGGAGCCACCCAAGATTATATATATATATATATATTATTCCTACCCTGCCCCCTTGTCTGTTTCCTTTCTCAAAGTTAATCCAGACAGGGCAGAAAGGAAAGTATGGGTCGGGGGCAGGCATCCTGGGGTCTCACCTTCAAGCCCCTCCCCATGCCAGCCTTCTTGCCCCACAGCCCCTCCCCCACCCCCTCTTACCAGCTGACTTCACCTCCCCTTCCCCTCCAATCTGGGAGTGGTGCCAGGTTGAGAAGGGGACACAGACCATGTGTGTCTGGGAATTCCCGCCCACTGTGGAGCCAAGGGAGGGGGTCCCCGTGTCCCTGAGGAGCCAATAGCAGCTGTGCCTTGCCCTGAGGGGGAGGGCAGGGTGTATATCTCTCAGACCAGCGATCGGTAGGTCCCGTCTCCTCTCTGCTTGTCTGACATCCGCAACTCTGCTCTGCCTAGGGGGGGCTCTGAGCCCCCCAGGCATTCCGCCTGACACCGCCTTTCGGTTGGGAGTGGATACTGATGCCCCTTACCTCAGGCATGTCCCAGCCAGGGGTCTCTGTGAAGTCCTTGGTGTCATCTTATGAGACTCGAGTGGTAGGGACGGCGCCAGGGGCACCCCGAAAAAGGGGCTGCGTGTCTTCCCCGTGCTCCCCAAGGGGGTCATCCCCCATCCGAGGAGCATCGAGACCTCCTGCCCACCAGGGCCTGGGGGCCCCTGGGCATCGACCTTCATCCCGCTGTGGGATGGACAAAAGCCTCCTCCCTCTGATCCTCTACTGTCACAGGTACTTGGGTGGGGTGGGCCCTAGGCTGGGCTTTTAGAGCAAGCAGAGGACTGTAGCCGAGCTGACTGGGGGTTCCTCCTCAACTAGTAACCCTCCCCCATGTCTCTCCAGTGGTTCCGGAAGCCTGGTTGGCATTGACAACAAGATTGAACAAGCCATGGTAAGAAAAGATGTTTTGGTCCCAGGAGGCCCCTTCACAGTTTCCACAGCCATCTCTCCTCTCCCATTACTTGGGAGTAGAAACTATTCCAGTTAGTTATCATCACCCTCCTTCTCTACTTCAACCCCTGCTCCGTCCCTGTCTGAGTCCTGTCCCGCATCCTTTGACCTCTGCTCTGTTTCTCCTTTAACCTCTGTCCCCTCCTTTGGGCAAAGAGGGATGGGTATCATAGCTAACTCCTCGAGGTGCCGGGTTAGGAGACGCTGCGTGGCCTGGGAGAGCCTGATGGTTGCTTTGTCCCTGGGGTCCAGGACTTGGTGAAGTCCCACCTTATGTTTGCCGTGCGAGAAGAAGTGGAGGTGCTGAAGGAGCAGATCCGAGACCTGGCAGAGCGGAACGCTGCACTGGAGCAGGAAAACGGATTGCTGCGCGCCCTGGCCAGCCCAGAGCAGCTGGCCCAGCTGCCATCCTCGGGGCTCCCAAGGCTCGGGCCCTCTGCACCCAACGGGCCTTCCATCTGAGCCTTCTTACCCTCACAATGTGCCTTTGAGGGGCTTCCACTGGCTGCCGGGCCTTGTGCCAGCAGCCTGCCCCTCTTCCTATGTAGCTTTAATGCCCACGCCCAACCCCAATGCCCAGGGATGGGACTTGAAGGCTCAATACTGGCCTGTCCCTTCCCACCTGGTCTCCCCAGAGTCCTCAGGCCTTGCCGGAAGAGAGAGAACCCAGGAGAGGATGTTTATCTGAAGCCCCTCATCCGTGAAAGCACCCAGCCCCACCTCCTAGCCTGGGTATCAGTGTTCTGGGGAGCCCCTCAGCAGTAGATGGCCTGAAAAGATTTGGAGGTTCCCTGGCAGGCCCCACCCCACTCCTCCTCGGTCTCTTCAAGTGCCCCCTCTCCTCTGCCCAGGGAGGGCATATGGACAGTATCTTCAACTTCTTGGATTCAGGTTGTTATTAAAATAATAATTATAATTAAAAAAAATCTGAAGAAACTTGAATATGGTGTGCTGTTGCTGGGTCCAGCTATGTAGTTACCTTGTCCCCAATACATGCCCATGCGTGCGCACGAACACCACACACACACACACACACACACACACACACAAAGATCCCAGGTCCACCCTGGAGAAGGTGCCAGAAAATGGCTTAGGAATGGTCTTGGTCCCTGGAAAGGCCTGGCAGGCTGGCCTAAGGAAAGAGGTAGAGGGGCGGTGTCTACCCACGTGCTGGTGGTTGGCGGTGTGAGGGGGAGATAACAATGAGGTCTTTGGTGAGTGTGAGGATCCACCCCCAGCTCCCCAGTGTGTCCCCTCTTGTGGGCTGGATCCGGGTGGCTGCTAGGAGGCAGGGCAGGGAACCCTGAATGGGCCCCTTGTCTTAAGACTGGGTGTGGGCCAGGCTCTTTGGGCACATGGTGCCCTCGCCAGGCCTGGCTGGCTGCCTTGGCTTCTACCCCACCCCTGGCTGGATGAGGACTAGGCCCAGTGGGTGAGCAGGCTCCGCCCTGACAGCCTGGGCTTCTCTCCCAGACAGACTGAGGCAGCCAAGAAGTGCTCCATCTAGTGGGAGAAAGCATCAGCAGTTAGAGCCTTGAAGGAGAATGTCTTGTCTCTGGGAATCAGAGAGCAAGTCTTAGCAGAGTTTTAAGTCTTTGGTGGCCCAACCAACCAGATTGGACCCTGTATCTTCTTTGGGGGCCAGGGTGTGGTGGTTAAAACAGGGTGTCGTGTAACCCAGCCTAGCTTCAAACCTATTATATAGTTGAGAATGGTCTTGGAAGGCCTGAGCCTCCTGTGTGCTGGGATTACAGGTGTTCATTCTCTAAACACTTACCTTGAAGTACTGTTGTAAAAATTACCTAGCAAAATCCACAGAGAACGCCTAAGGAGTCCCTGGGCTCTTGATCAACGTTGATTTCGTTATCCTGGTCCCTGGGCCAGAGGGACAAAGCAGTCAATGATTGGCTCTGAAGGTCTTGGAAGGTCCTTGGGGGTTGGGGCCAGACGGCTCTCACAATGATCTAGAACACTCCATCATTCTAAGTTCTCATCCACTTTGACTCCTCTCCCTGTCCCAGGGAGGGGAGGAAGGGCCTGCCATGAGTCATTGGGGGGTACGCCCCTTTTGGATTTCTCATTTCTTCCTTCAGTACTGTGCTTGAGGCTCCTCAGTACCCGCAAGTCCTCTCCGGTGGTGGCCTCCAGCCCATAGCCTTTTCCCTCCTACACCTCAGATGCTCAATTTGTGCCATACTTTGGACTTGTGGTGTCAAGAGAGATTGCCGTGGTCATGAGGTTCTTGAAATGGCTTAGGCAAATTTGGCGAAAGGTGCCCAGTTGGGTGAGTTTTATGAACACAAGATGGCCATGAGATACGAGTTCTGGTTCGTGTTGTCTGGGCTATCACAACCCATACCACGTTGTTCCTCGTTTTTGGCTTCTTTTAGCTCGACAGGACAGGAGAGGAGGCTTTAAGATGAGTGGGGGAGGACTTCGGGTGGTGGGAAGTCACGTCACTGTCTTTACTGCAGGGACTCCTCTCTCTCCCATATTTTGTTTCTGTTACTATTATGTATAGAGGGGTGTATCTGTGTCATGACACAGACAACTTTTGAGAATTGGCTTCCTCCTCTCATTGTAGGAGCCAAAGACCCACCTCAGACTAGCAGGCCTACCTGGCAAGAGCCGTCACCCACTGAGCTATCCAGCCCACCCTGTGTCTTATTTCTTAGGTCCAGTTCTGGAAACACCTAGCCAAGCCAGTCACATCGGATCAGCCCGAGAAGCGTCTGTTGAAGGGACCGGAGAAGGTTTCCATGGATTTTGACCCCACGGATTTGACTTTGGGCCCCCCAAAGTTGGTCAAACCCCACAAAGAGGCCATAGTCGCTAACCTGGATGTGTGTCCTGGGACGCTCGAATCCCGTGTGCTGGCCTCAGTCAAGGAAAGATCTCCTCTGCATGAGCAAGAGAGCCATTCGAGTCGAGACAGCCGTTCCCTGATGAACGTAGTCCACTCAATGTCCATGTTCATGTTCTCCATGCTGCAGTCCGGCTGGCGATTGTGTAGGTGGAAGGTGTGTACTGTCCCAAATCTCTAGCCCTGAGACTCATTCCTCCCCTGTCCCTCCTCCAGTGCTGGGTTTTTGGTTTTGTAGTTTTTGTTTTGTTCTGTTTGAGACAGGGTCTCCTGTAGCCCAGGGTTACCTGGAACTTGCTATTCATTCCTACTTAAAGTTACTTCTGATTTTTTTTAAAAGGATATCTAGAAACTGGGCAGTTAGTAGCACATATCTTAATCCCAGAATCAGGAGGCAGAGGCAGGTGGATCTCTGAGTTTGAGGCCAGTCTGGTTAACAGAGTTTTAGGACAGCCAAGGCTACACAGAGAAAATTTATCTTAAAAAAAAAAGTTACTGAGCCGGGCGGTGGTGGCGCACGTCTTTAATCCCAGCACTCGAGAGGCAGAGGCAGACAGATTTCTGAGTTCGAGGCCAGCCTGGTCTACAGAGTGAGTTCCAGGACAGCCAGGGCTATACAGAGAAACTCTGTCTCGAAAAACAAAAAAAAAAAAAAAAAAAAAGTTACTTATGTATATATGTGTTTGTCTGTATGTGCACCATATATGTACAGTTGTCCAAAGGAGGCTATAAAAGATTGTGAGAAACCCTGGAACCTGGAGTTCCAGGTGACGTTAGCTGTCTGATTGCAGGTACTGGGTCCTCTGCAAGAATACCAAGTGTTTTAACTGCTATAAGCCATCTCTCCGGCCCCAAGATTTCTATTCTGTTTATATATTTTAGGAGGTTTTTTTTAAAAAAAGATTTATTTTTTTATTTTATGTATATGAGTACACCATTGCTGTCTTCAGACACACCAGACACATGAGATCCTATTATAGATGGTTGTGAGCCACCATGTGGTTGCTGGGAATTGAACTCAGGACCTCTGGAAGAGCAGTCAGTGCTCTTAACCACTGAGCCATCTCTCCAGCCCTTTAGGGTTTTTTGTTTGTTTGTTTGTTTGTTTGTTTTTGTTTTTGAGACGGGTTCTCAACATGGATTCTGGCTGGCATGGAAGTCTATATAAACCAGGCTGCCCTGGAACTCAGAGATCCTCTTACCTCTGCCTGCCAAGTGCTGGAATTAAACGTGTGTACCACTCTGCCCTCATCCCCAGATTCCTTTCCTTTTCCATTTTCGTTTTTTAAAAACTCTCCCTCTCTTCACGTGTGTATAAGTATGCCTGTGCTGTAACATGCTTGTGGAAATCAGAGAACAAACCTTGGGTGTCAGTCGTTTCCCGTTATTTTATTATATTTTATGCACGTGTGTGCTGCATGCCATGTGTATGCAGGTGCCCAGGAAGAGGGAGTAAGATCCCGTGCAGCTGGGTTTTGTGAGCCTCCCAGCATGGATGCTGGGAGCTGGACTCCAGTCCTCTTCAAGAACAGCAAGCATTCTCAACCACTGAGCCATCTTTCTGTCCCCTCTATAGGGTGACTTATTTGTCACTGCTGTAGATGACTGTCCCGAGCGTTTCTGGGGGTACCCCTGCCTCCTCCCATTTCACTGTAGGAGTGCCAGTGAAACAGGGTTTCTCTGTGTAGTTCTGGGTGTCTTGCAACTCACTCTGTAGACCAGGCTGGCCTCAAACTCAGAGATCTGCCTGCCTCTGCCTCCCAAGTGCTGGGATTAAAAGCGTGCGTCACCACTGCCCGGCTTTCTAAATAGGTTTTGAGGATGTGAGGATCTGAATTGAGGTCTTCAGGCTTGGACCGCAAGAGAGCTTTGAACTCTCCTAATGCTCCTGCCTCCCTCTCCTCGGGATTACCAGCAAATGCTACCCAGGACTTCACACATGCTAGGCACGTGCTCTACAGACCTAGCTCCGTGTCCAGCTCCCTCCATTCTGTGTGCAGTCAGCCCTTTGTAGCACCTCCTCTATTGTGAAGCACCACAGAGACAGTAGTGAGCCGTGTTTACCCAGACCAGGGAGGCCGTTGACAGGGCAACAAACAGGCCGTGCTGGTTTTATACCCAAATGTTGCAGGTAGAGGGGACTTGGGTACCAGAGGGATCCTATGAAGAACTGGGCATGGAACATCAAATATGCTCCATAGATGAAGAAGGAGGAAACTGAGGCTTGGTGAAAATTAAGGGGAAATGGAAGAAGTGGGAAGGGAAAGGGCGTACGGGGAGGCGGGATGGGGGTGTGGCTGGGGGTGTGGTCTATGTTACCAGAGCGCTAAGGACCTATTTAAATAGGCATTGCACATAAATGAATCGCAGGGTAGATGGCCGGGTGGTAGAATTTGAATTTAACTCTAAGAACAAGAAGAGCCTTGGAGATGTTTAATCAGCAGTGACATAATCTTTTTATATTTTTTAATTAATTAATTAATTTATTTTTTAGGCAAGGTCTTTTGCAGGCTGGTGTCAGAGTTCCTGTGTATTTATTGTAGTCTTGAATTCCTGACCCTCTGGGTGTCACCCCCATCCCCACCCCAAATCCTGGGATTATAGGCACCACCACACCCACTTTTTGTGGTAGTGGGGAAGAAAGCTCTGGCTGTTTTGCCTGCTGCACAAGCATACTGCCAACTGCTAGTTTCTCTATACTATTATTAAGATAAAATATAGAAACTCAGGACATGTAAGTGGTTTGTTGGTGGCCAGATCCCGTGTGTGTGGGGTTATAAGAGGACATTAGCTGAGGCTAGGGCTTAGTGGTAATGTGTTTGCCTAATGTGTCTGAGGCCTCAGACTCAATCCCTACAACCGCTAGGGGTAGTGAGAGACAAGACAGCAAAGGGGATGAAAGCAACTGATTTGCGCTTACCTTCACAATAAAAGGATAACACTAGGAACTCTTGTGATGCTCTTGATTGGTAGTTAGATACACAGTTCTGTACACGTGATACAGTCTTAAACACGTACACATGCATCCACACAATACACAGGAGTAAAAGAAAAATTAGGGATGTCTGCAGGTGGTAAAGATGGCTTAGCAGGTAAGAGCACTGCCTGCTCTTTGAGAGGACCTGGGTTCAATTCCCAGCATGTACATGGCAGCTTCTGGAGCCCTCTTGTGATCTCATGTATCCTTGTATATATGTATGTGATAGGTACATACATATATACAGGCAAACACACACACACACAGATGCATATAATTAAAAATGATAATAATGCAAATCTTTTTGTTTGTTGCTTTCAAGACAGAGTTTCACTATGAAGCTCTATTTCTGGAATTCACTGTGTAGACCAGGCTTGCCTCCAAATCACAGAGATCCGCCTGCCTCTGCCTCCTGAACGTTGGGATTAAAGGTGTGCGCCACCATGCCTGGCTACTTGCCAACACAGGGTCTTACTATGACCCTGGCTAACCTGGAACTCTCTACGTAGACCAAAATGGTCTCAAATTAAAAAAATTTGCTTTTTTCTCCCTCCCAAGTGCTGAAACTCTGCACTACCACACAGCATCTGTCGCTGAACCTGGACCTAGCTGTTTCCCATAGAATGGCTGGCCAGAGAGCCGCCTTGTCCTCTGCTTGGTTTATTGTGTGGTACTGGGAATCAGCTCTAGGTCCTGATGCTTGGTCTGACCCACTAAGCTATTTCCTTTGCCCCTGTGTCTCACAAATTATTCTTACTGAAAGAAAATAGGGGCTGGTGAGATGGCTCAGTGGTTAAGAGCACTCACTACTCTTCTGAAGGTCATGAGTTCAAATCCCAGTAACCACATGGTGGCTCACAACCATCTGCAATGAGATCCGATGCCCTTTTATTGAGTGTCTGAAAACACTTACAGTGTACTTATATATAATAAATGCTGGATTGAGAAGAAATAGGTTGCTTGTTGTGGTGGCACAAGTCTTTAATCCCATGACAAGAGGCAGGGGGAATCTCTGTGAGTTTAAGGCCAGCCTGGTCTACAGAGTGAGTTCCAGGACAGCCAGGACTACAAAGTCAAGTCCTACATTGAAAAACTAACCAAACAAGCTCCACCCCCAAACAAACAAACAAACAAACAAACAAAAAGGGAAAACACAGCTAGGTAACTCACAACAAGGAAATTCCAGCATTTGGGAAGAGGAGGCGGAAGGAGTCTTCAAGTTTGGGGGTAGCCTGAGTTTTCTAAAGTGAATTCCAGGGCAGCCTGGATTAACAGCGTAAGATGTTGTCTCAAAAGCACACAAAACAGAAAGGAAAACAAATAGGTGAGGTAAGAGAGGGAAGGGGGAACGAAGGAGAGGAGAGGAAGGAGGAAATAAAGAAAAACGAGGCTGAACTGATGTCCATGCCTAAAATCTCAGCACTTAGAGGCTGAGGCAGGAGGATTATGAATTCAAAGCCAGCTTGGGCTATGTAAAACTGTGAACAACTAACACGGGGCTGGCCATGTGGCTCAGTTTTCACCGTGCTTGCCTAGCATGAGACTCTGGGTTCCATCCCCAGCACCATCATGGTGGAGGAGGTAGAGGCAGGAGGATCAGGAATTCAAGGCCATCTGTGGCTACATAGCAGTTTCAAGTCTGAGATACATGAGTTACTACTTCTAAATGAAGAGAAGAAAGGGAAGGAGGGAGGGAGAGAGGAAGAAAGAAAACAAAAGAAAAATGGAACCTTAGGGCAAACATGAGGGCAGAAAGACCATCACTTAATGCAAGCTGAAAGGACTTCCTGGAGGAGGTGATGCCTGTGCTAATCTGATAGAGGAGGTAAGAATCCAACTTTTTGATGTTTATTTGCTGGCCCATCTATCCTCCCTTGACACCCCCATATTTTTCTTTTACAGCCTTCTATGGGTGGCTCAGTTTCCTCCCATACGAGGACCGGGTCAGCCTTGGGGACGCCAGAGGCTGAGATGCTGCGGGAAGTCTACCTGGTGCTCTGGGTCATTCGCAAACAACTAAGAGAGCTGGCCCGCAGACAGGAGAGGCGCAGACGGCGCCGTATGCGGTCTCATCCCTCCCAAACTTCCCGTCACTCTGAACCAGTGCAGGGCCTCAAACATGATGCCCGAAGTCCCCTCTAGCCAGGGGAGCCCCAGATCCTTTGAAAGCCCCCACTTTACTCTTACAGAAGGTTGACAGGAAGGGTTCAATGGCTATCAGGCCAGAGCTGCTGGTGAGGAGACGTTTGACCATACTGTCACATCTCACTGGAACCCCAAGACCAGGCCTGGGGTCGAACATACTCCCCTTCTCTGTGTTGAATCAATTTGTAAAAAAAAAAAATTATCTAAATATTGAGAAATAAATACCGGATGTTTATGAGTAGATGTAGCTGTCATGAACGAGAGTCAGTGAGGGGACTCGTGGGGTTATGGTGCATGTGGAGAAAGAAACACCAAGTGTGGCGGGTGCAGTCATGCACGAAAGTAACCCCTAGGTGTCTTTTTATATGTAAGAAGTGAGCCAGTCCTGTGCTTACATCTCCACACCCTCCCAGGAGATGAATTGCCTTTGACCGATCTGCCTAGCCAGTAACCATAGCAACAGCATCATGCCCGCTGGGCAGCAGCCCTGACTTTTCTCCGAGCAATTCCACAAGATAGGGTGGTCTAGGGACTCATCCTATGTGTGTGTGTGCACATGTCAGGGAGTGGGTACCAGAAAAGAGTGATGGATCCCATGAAGCTGGAGGGTGCGAGCCATCCAGGTATGGGTGCTGGGAGTCAAATCAGTCCTCCGTAAGAGCAGCACGGGCTTTAACTGTTGAGCAGTCTCCAGCTCTTCCTTTTGTTTTTGAGACAAAGTCTCATCTGGCCTCCAACTCTCTATGTAAGTTAGGATGCTAGTCAGACAGACATCTTACCAACAGAGTAACACCCCTAGGTGCCCGCTATTTAATTGTTTCTATTAGATTTCTAATTACATATTTTGTTTGCACTGTATGTATGCGTGTGCGTGGGTGTGTGCCATAGTGTTCCTGTGACTGGGTGACAACTTGGCAGGAATCAGTTCTCTTTCTACCACGTAAATCACAGGGACAGAATTCAGGTCATCGGGCTTAGTGACAGGCCGTTTTATCTAGTAGGTACATCATACAGCCCAGGCTGGACTCAAACTCAGTCTGCAGATTAAAGATGATCTTGGATTACTGGTCCTTCTGCCTCAGTCTCTTATAAGCCGGGACAGCAAGAGTGTGACGTCATACTGGGCTTGAAAGTTGTGATTCTGAGAATGCCCGTTTGGGGCTGCAGGAGATTCATCTGCCAGGGAAGAAATTTGGTTCCGTTGCCTGTGCCCCACCGAGAGCCATAGGCAATGACGATTCCAGGGTTGTCTGGAAGCCACATAGGCTCTGAGCGAGAGTAGGGAAGAACGGGGGTCAGGGCAGGCTGAGGAGGCCAGGTAGGAGTTGTGACTCATTAGCTGAGAGGGGGGACAGCCCAATGAGGGGGGTGGATAGTAATTGGGAGGGAGGTTGTATACACATGAGGCAACAAGAGAGGGTATCCTGGGGTCACAACCCTGTACTGCCCCCCGCCCCCCACTCTCTGTTGCCCTCTTATATGCAGAGGTAGCTCCCCAGGAAAATGCATATAGACTTTTGGGGGATTTGAGTGTTTGCAGGGCTTGGGGTTGTCAGCAATGCTTGAAGCCAGAGAAACTTAAAGCTAGAAGTTATGTTCCTTGGGCAAGAGAGAAGAGGGGAGAAGGGAGAAAGGCAAGGAAAGGAGAGTTGGGAGAAGGAGAGGAGACAGGGAAGGGCTGGCAGCTGTTCTGCATGATGGCCCCAGAATTCACAGGCTGGGAGCTTCAGCTCAGTTGCTAGAGTCCTTACCTAGGATGCTCAAAGCCTTGGGTTCAATCCTCAGCACTGCACACACTAGGCAAAGTAGTATGGACTACTTGTATGTATGCATGTGCGTGGGTGTGTGCCATAGTGTTCCTGTGACTGGGTGACAACTTGGCAGGAATCAAGTTCTTGTAATCCCAGCACTAGAGGTGGGAGGACCAGAAGTTCAAGGGCATCCTCAGCTGCCTGAGGACCTGAGTTCGAATCGCCAGCACCCGTTGTAAAATGACAGGCTCAGCAGCACATACATCAGCCAGCCAGTCAGTCTAGCAGAATGGGCAAGTGTCAGGTCCACCAAGAGACCGTTTCAGAAACCAAGGTAGAGGGCCAGTGAGACGGCTCAGCAGGTAGAGGATCTTTGCCATTGAACCTGAAAATTTAACTCCTGGGGACCATATGGCAGAAGGAGGAATGACTCCCACAATATAAGCTGTCCTCTGACTTCCATATGTACATGGTTTGTGCATGCTAACACACACACACACACACACACACACACACACACACACACACACACACACAATGTAAAAAGGACCTTGGTATGGAGAGCAATTGAGAATAACATTATTCCTTGGCCTTTACACACACAAATACAAACCTGTACACAGTTACTTGGGAGTTGTACTTTGCACCCTGACCACAAGGGGACAGTAAAGAGCAGCAGGCAGGGAACCTTGCTAGAAAATAAGACACAACCTCAGTGGTTCTCTATCTGTGGGTTTCAACCCCTTTTGTTAGGGGGTTAGAACAACCCTTTCATGAGGGGTCCCCTAAGACCACAGGGAAACATAGATATTTACACTAGGACTTATAACAGTAGTAAAATTTGTTATGGAATAAAAATGGAAGTATGTTACGGCTGGGAGTGAGCACAAGAACTGCATTAAAGGGCGGCAGCATCAGGAAGGTTGAGAACCACACCGCTTTATCCAGATATGCGCTACTCATATGAGATCAAACCCAGCGCTTGGTGAGGGCTAGGCGAGCATTCTACCACCCAGCTGTAGGCAAGCGCTTTACACCCCCAACGCGCGCGTGTGCATGCACATGTGCATGTGTATGCTCAGGAACATGTGCACATGTGCAAATGTAGAGACAGCCACTCTCCACCTTTATTAAATTAGAAGATTAAAGGCGTGTGCCACCACCGCCCGGCAAAAATGTGTAGCCCAGGCTGGCCTCGAACTCGTGATCCTCCTGCCTCTGCCTCCTTCAGCAAATCCTACCATCTCACCATTTTTTTTCTACACATGGTTTCTCCCTGAGACTTGGGGCTGGGCAGTTTGCTAGGCTGGCCAGCCATTCAGGGATCTCTGCTTCCCCAGTCCAGCCTGTCACCACTTGCAGGTTTTTATGTTGGATTTGAACTCAGGTCCTCATGATTGTGAAGCAAGCAGTTTACCCTTTACCCCTTTATAGCCTCAGCAGTTTACCCTTTACCCCTTTATAGCCTCAGCCACACCCAACACGCACAGTTATACACACACACACACACACACACACACACACACACACACACACACTCTGCCTACTTTTGCCTGTGTGCCATGTGCATGCCTGGTACCCAAATCGGTTCCCCTGGCACTGGAGTTGCAGATGGTGGGGAGCTGCCACACACGTGCTGGGAACCAAGTTCAGTGACTACTGAGCCATCTCTCCAGCTCCATACTTTTTTTTTTTTTTGGTTTTTCGAGACAGAGTTTCTCTGTGTAGCCCTGGCTGTCATGGAACTCACTCTGTAGACCAGGCTGGCCTCGAACTCAGAAATCCGCCTGCCTCTGCCTCCCAAGTGCTGGGATTAAAGGCGTGCGCCACCACCACCCGGCCTGCTCCATACTTTTTAAAAGACTCGCTTTCACTATGTAGCTCATGCTAGCCTTAAACTCTCAATTCTTTTACCTCAGTCTTCTTTGTGGTGGGATTATAAAGATTATATACTCGGTTTTACATCTTATTTCGAGATAGAGACTCTGGTTTTGAATTGACTCAGTAGCCCAGGCTAGCCTCAAACTCACTCAGTAAGCAGGAATGACCTTGGACTTCTACCTGATCCTGTAAGAATTCACATGCCTATTGTTATTTTTGTCTGTTGATGTCATTTAATGTGGTGCTGGGGAGCAAACGGAGGGCTTTGTGCATACTAGGATAAGCACGTTACCAGCTGAAGATGGACCTTAATCCCTGGATCCTCTATTCCTGAGACCTGATGTTCCCAGTGAAGAAGAGTCTGTTTCTAAGACGGTGGCTGATCCTGTATCTCACACAGAGTACTACTCCAAACTCTGGATTCTCTCGGCACCACAGCTGGCTGAGTCCAGTTGGTACCACATCCCTGTAATTCCAGTTATTCCAAAGGCTGAGGCAAGAGAGGGAGGAAGGGAAACAGGGGAGCCGAGACACAGAGTTTCATAGTCTACACAGAGGGCCCAATAAGGCCAAACAGGCAGGCCCAGACCGTCACTGGTAAATGACCTTGCAGGTAACTACAAGCACAAGAACTGGGTCTGGGAGAGAGGCTGAGGGCTGGAGGAAAGGGATACCATCTCATTTGCCTCTCAGCATCAAGAGTGGGAGGCAGATAAAGGAAGATGCATGCGTTCAACCAGCAGCCTTGAGAGCGTTCTGCACATCTCACCTGACTTCTTCCGCTAGTCCTGTCTGAGCTTGGCCTTGACCGAGCATGGGCAGGGAGGCTTGTGACAGGAAAGGCGGTGGGTCTAGACAGATCCAGCGTGTAGAACTTGCCTTTTTGGTCTACCTAGTTGGCTGTTGAAGTTTGGCTCTGGTTCCTTTCTCCCAGCTCCATGTTCCCAGAAATAAGACTCAGACTCCAGATATATTTACAAATACCTTGGCCATATAGCTAGGTTCTTCTCTGACTAGATATAACTTAAAATATCCCATGTATTTTGCCACAAGGTTGGTTACCTGGGTTCAGATACCACATGTCTGTCTCCTCACATCTTCCCGGCGAATCTTCTGCGCCTTGCTCTATCCCAGAATCCTTTCCTCTTTCCGGATGTCCCACCTATACTTCCTGCCAAAGCCATAGGCCCTCGGCTTTTTAATTGACAGGTGATGGATCCATACAATACGTAAAATATTCTCTATAGTTGACCTCCATTCTGACTCGTTCCGAAAGAGGCCATCTCAGGGTTCTAGAAAACGGGTGTGAGGTATCACAGGAGGGGCTGGCCAAACTAGAGGGAGAGTATATTGGGTCTCCTGAGGTGGGAAGTGTCAGTGATCCCTGAGAGAGAGAAAGCTGTCTTCTCTGTCCCTCCTCTCCCTACCCCCACTTCTCTACTTCTTCGGCTTTTTCTTTGTCTGTGTGTGTGTGTGTGTGTGTGTGTGTGTATGTGTGTATGTGTGTATGTGTGTAGCCTTGGTTGTCCTGGAACTCTCTCTGAGGACAGATCTTGAGCCGGTACAGCTCTGCCTCCCTCTGCCTCCCAAGTGCTGGGATTACAGACAT